CAATTTCTCTGCTAAATGTTACGGGGAAACGGAAGTGGTACAGAGGTCACGTGACGTCAGTTGACATGGCATCAATTTTCTCGCCAAATTTAGCGGAGAGAATGTTCCCGTAGCAAGGATACACGATACCCATATAGCTGAAAATCTTGACTAGTAGCTTAACAAAGCCATTAAATTAAAAAGTTAATTACCTAGTTTTACTTAATTGCACAATAGAGTGTGACGCTTGTTCGCCTTTCGAATATCCACCGAGCTCAAGAAACATGGGGTGAAGACGGCATTAACGTAGCAGAAAAGACGTTTTTTTTTAAATTCTGTGTTGAATAAAAAATGTTACCCTCTATATGGTTCTCAAATCATTTCTTTGCAATTTCTATTGTGGTCTTGAAGCCTGTTGATAAATCACGACAAAATATTGTGGTTAATGAAAATAGGGGTTGCGGAATGACTAAATTGATAAATGCATTGCGGGATTTACTTCAGCTAGGTGGTTCACGCCTGTTAATATGGAGGGTATAACAATTTCTAAGGAACACGAAAAATAAAAAAAAAACGGTGACTGTTTTTATTCTTTAACTTCACAGTTTGTCAAAATTGTCCAGCTACCCACAACAGCAGTCAGAAACGGAAGGACGTGCACAAGCACTTCCTTCTTGAGTAAATCCCTTTTTTATGGTGGACAAATACCTCCGGTTGTTAAACGTGCCTCCATTCCTAAAAACAAAAATGTTTTCAAACACTGAAGGGCTTATGTTTTTAGTGCAGGGTTATATTTCGCTTTCTGAAGTACACAACATATAAAAAATCTAAGGAAACTTTTTGCTTGTTTCCGAGTGAGCGCATTAAACGAAACTATAGTCTAAGCTGAGTGTACAAGGCTCATGAAACGAACAAGTGAATAAAACATTTATCGTCGGGGATGCTACCCGCCGTAAGCCAAGGCTGGGCCATAAAATAAAGCATACCTAAAAGTACATTCAAGCGACAAAGCTTCCACTCACTCAAGGATTTCGCAGAAACTTCTTCAAAGAGCTATCGCGCCGCCCGACAGCCATTTCAGAGCTCCATACCTTTTTTCATGCCGGAGAAACAACGTGTTTGTTGCGATATTATACAGAACGTTGTCAAATAAATTATATTTAGAAAAATGGAAACACCTAAACATATAAATATATTAGATACTATGTTCAACTTCGTCAAACCGACTGGCACCCGAAACAAATCCCCTATCAAATGGTAAACGTTTTGAATACCATGACTGTTTCGCGTTAACAAATGTCTAATTGATGGCCTCCTTATTATGAAGCATTTACTCTGTAACATCTAATCCTAAACTTTGGTATTTTTATTATGCGGTATTTTTTCGTATTTTTTTATACGGTATATTTTCTCCTTCAAAGAGACTGGGCGGTTTTTTTATCGCATCCAGGATTCCAAGCTCATGATAATATTATTTTTATCGCATTAAAACTTTGGATTGGGCTTGTCGCTTCGTTGTGATCTAAAGGGCTAAAAAGCACAAAAAAACACGGATGAAAACGATACACATGCAACACGGACTGGTGCTCACTTTCAACTGATATAATCAAGGCCAACCACCAAGCACACATGCGTGAACACTCTTTCCAATCATGCCGACCACATCTGATAAAAGCAAACCCATAAACAATAACAGCAGAAGACAATGGTTTAAGCATTCGTATCAGTCCAACGCGACCACACAAAACTATCTAGAAAAGAAACTTCCCTCTCATTTAGTAAAATGGTCACCTGAGGACTTTATAAAATACGCTTTGGCTATTTCCCTCTCAGTCTTGCTGTTTGCTCTTTTAATAAATTTTGTTCATTCTAACAGGGGGTCACACGCGCACCGCGTGCAGTGTACGGCACAGTATCCCCCCGCTTTGTTACGAACCGCTAGACGATGTTCACGCGCCCTTTCGTTAAAATACCGCCCAGTCTGTCCAATATACACAAGCCCGCACGTTAGCGGAATATCGTAAACAACATTAGAGGCACAAGCTGTGTACTGAGTGACGTGCGTCTTCGAGCATTGAACGAGTTTCTATCCAGTAATTATAGGACAAATTTCGCCAGCTGCACGGAGCAGAAAAAACATTGACATCACACTTAATTGCTTTTTTTATATTCTGCGACGCCTTGTGTAAATAAGGTATCACTTGACCTCTTGATTTTTATTCTTTTCTCGCTTACCGCCCCTGTGTTTCCTCTACTTTTGATATTTTGTGCGAGGTTTTCACACACGCTGGTACACAAGCCGGCGGGGTAGCCCGCCCTGTCTAAGCGTTCTATCTGAAATTCAAAGCGTGTGGTCAAAGCGTGAAGGCAGCTTTTTTTCAAAGCAGCCTGAAGACAGGTGAGAGCAATTCCTAGCTTTATCAACTTAGAATGAGCGGTATCAAAAGACAAGACGCTCTTTTCTGAAAGTGGTTTGTACAACCAGCACACGTGTTCATTTGCAAAAGTAAGCGGTAGGTTTAAAAACTGAATGCACTTGTCTATGGGAAGCTCCTAGGTAAACTTCAACCCGTTCGACCTGGCCTCAAACAAGTCGACGACATTTGGAACAACATCATTGAAACACATCCCCGAGTGATCATCCACAATAATCAGAAAATCATCTACATATATAAAAAATATTAAGCACATTCATCTCATTAGGGCCTTACAATATTATGGTTGTTCATGGATGCTAAAAATATATCACAAAAAACTGGGGCTACCAAGGAACCAATACACGTACCCACTTTTTACCAGTGTTGTGCCCGTAACCGAAAATAAGTAACGAAATAGCGTTACTCGTTACCTTAGAAAAAAACCTAACGCGTTACAGAGCTCCGTTACCATTTTGCAAATGTAACAAAATACTGGTGACGTTACTTTCCATAACTAAGGGACGTTACTTTTACGTTACTTTGCCGTTACTTTTTGTTTCACTGTTAGTATATGACAGCTATTAGTGTATGACTTATAGTTTGTGACTGTACAGCGTCTCGACCACAGCGTCGCCACAAGCTTGCCGAACCGTTCTTGAGAAGCGGGAACTTGATGCATACGGTCGATCTTCATCTACTTCAGCAAAGACGCGTCGGGAAAGTGGGTTGTAGTCTTGGTCTTTCGTTTCTTTGAACGCACCTAGAACTCTGATAGTTTCTGCGAATGGAGGAACTGGAGCAAAAAAAGATACAAATTAGGACCGATGCGAAGCACCCCTGTTAATTTCTAGTTATCAGTGCTCTGGTACAACGAAATATTAACTAAATAAATTGCTTCACAAATTAGGGCAGAAAAAACTGTCCATGTAAATCGCAAAATTAAACAAATATCAAATAGGCGTGTTGATATATAGCTGCAGTGACTTATTTCCCCTCCTTCTCAAATATACAAGGAAACTCAATTGAGCTGTTTTCGAAGTGTTTTCGCTAGCTTACATTAATGAGCACTGTGAGATGTAGGTGAAAGCTATGCGATTAGCAAAACAATCTCTAAAGGGACGTTCTTTTGCCTGACAAAACTTAACCCCGTCATTTTCACGTAAAAAAAGTAAGTACCATTGAAGAATAACTTACCTTAATGTGCTTTTTCATGTTCGAGTTCGACGTCCCAGGTGTGCTCAGCAGCTTGAGTTTCGGCCAACGTTACTAAAACACTCAGTTGGGAAACTGCCATAGATACTTGTCTGAAAAAGTGGCCCCGCTCTGTCTTCCAGAACCGAGCTAATGACGAACACAACGCCGCCATTTCTTCCGCTGCCGCCACTCGAGGAACTGTACGTTACTTCTATTTTGGCTTTAATCGGCCACTTTGGGGCCGAAACAGATACAGCGGAAGAGGTTATAGGGGTGCCACTCCCGTCTCCCCAGCGGACGCGCCGCGACTTGCTTCCGAAGTTAAAATGCACCTAGATCGGGACGCGCTACCTGAAAGCAGCGCTGAGGCATGGTTGTATAAAAACAATATTAATTGTTCCGCAAAACCGTGCGACCTAAAGATTTTAAAAACATCACGCGCCCATCATTTGGTACTAAACTCGAAGAAATTTAATGCAAAAAGAGTGTTTTCCGTTTATTTTTACGGAAAAACATGCTTTCTAAAAACTCAAGGTGACCACAGTACAGAAAAATGATAAAGAGTGGCGCTGTTGTCGTATTTAGCTCGGTCTCGGTGGACGCCAGCGACCCAAGTTTCGACGGCGAGTTTCCCAACTGAGTGTTCTAGTAACGTTGGTTTCGGCATACAGACTAGACATGCAAACACCAAATTGTCCGACTTCGTTTACCTCAGTTCAAACATAGCACTTAGCCCGGGCCATGGTAACGGAGTTTTGGTGGTTATTGCCGTCTTGCACGAAAAGTGAGTGGGAGATGGCAGTAAAAGTGGCATTTATAACAAGCACTCTAAAACGGCGTTGTTGGTTAGCGGCAGACGTTACATGACAGAGACAACCCTTAGCGAAAAACCGGGGCTCTTAGAGTATACTTTATTTGCACTTCCAGAAGTATGCTTGATGCTCTAAATTGGCCGGTTTTTAGTATACTTCTGACGCACTTCAAAGTAGCATTTCGCCATACTTTTAGTATACTTCTAAGCATACCTGTAAGAGGCATTTTAGTATACTTCTTACGCACTTCAAAAGTAACATTTCGCTATACTTTTAGGATACTTCTAAGCATGCCTGTAAGAGGCATTTTAGTACACTTCTTACGCACTTCAGAAGTAACATTTCGCCATCCTTTTAGGATACTTGTTCTAGTACACTTCTGAGCAGAATTTTAGTATGCTTTTATGCAGGCCTTTAGTACTATAAATTGTACCCCGGATTAAATTTGGAAGCAGGCTTTCAAATATAATCGGGGGTACACTTAACAGAACTTTTAAAGCATTTCACCAATTTATTCCTGACCAATTCCAGATAAGAGAAGTAGAAAATTATATTGATTTAGCAATTGCAGTGGTTTGCAGTTATCGAAACTGAAATGCATTATGTTACAGGCTTTAATGTAGACGAGTTCAAAGTGATGACAAATTAAAGTAAGAACTTTTTATTAAACAAATATTTTTTTCAATAGAATGAACACATGTTGCCTACAACAAACACTTACGATGGAACAAAAAACGTAATACTTTTAGTGGCTTACAAATATCACAGATGCACTTAAAGCTTTATAAACAAGCTCTTATTAGAAGAAAAAAATAATTACAAACTATCATGCTGAAGAAAAACGAGCAAAAATAGTATTGCACCTGTTAATATAAAACCTACAATATTTATCATCTACCATGACTGAAGTAACATCACCTACATGACTGAAGTAAAATGAATGAAAAAAGTTAATGCACTTGTTAAATAAAATCTAAATTAATCGCTAATCAGATTTAAGAGAAAAAAAAAGCCAATGCGCAAAATAAATAAAAATGAAAGCTAATTTTTTTTTTTTTTTTTTTCATTCTGCAGTTTTCTTCTGTGTGTTGGAGGCTTTGTTTTGAAGTGTAGGAAGCATTGCTGCACTTCCTTTACAGGTATTCTTTCACAAACTTCCGAGTTTCTCCAGGGAATTGGCAGTAACAAAAGCTGAAAAGAGAAGACAATAGACAATTAAGGAACTTGCCTTAAGACTCCATATTTACTTAATACTACTTAAAATTATACTTCAGGTCCACATAATTTTAGAAAATTTCACAAAAAGAAACCAACAACAAAAAGTTAATCATCTAAATATATTGAGCACGGGGACCAATGACTATGTTTATTGGCAACTGTGAAATATTGCTGCTGTGAAATAATGTAAAACAAGGCATTTCGTCAATTTGCAATGCATTAAAGGGATCATGAAACAAGTTTACTGTGGAAACAGTCTGGAGCTCGTTACTTTTATTTCTTTTACCTTATCACAAGTACGAGAAAACACACCGTGATCCCTCAAAATGTTGCGAGTGCACTGCGTAATCAGAAAGGAAAAAAGGGTCCATTTTTCATCATGCAGCTTATGGTGGCCACAGGAACTGCTGGCTTGGCGCCAATAGTGGTTGAGTTTGCGGGTTGAGCAGGTATCTGCCCAATTTGAAGCTAAGGTTTTTATAAAAGTTGTCATTCACTCATTTGGCCCCCAATTCATGTCACACGCACGTGACCTGGAAAGGACTCTAAAGGTTGAGGGGCCCCCCAAGCTTAAGTCTATTTAATTTTTTTAATAAAACTAGTGCACCTTGGAAAAAATTGTTTTCTGATCTTCACTGCACATGCGATGGTGAGATACTGCCACACTTACTTGGCCGAAGTCTGAGGACTATTTCATAACCCCTTTAAAAGCCTGCAAACATAACATTCTTTGTGACAGGGACTCTCAAACTTTCTGACATCAGCGAACAAAAATTTACTAATGTTACTGTTAGCCGAGGAGCCCCTTCCACTCTTGGCATTGTTGCAATTGAGTGTATGACAATGGTATAGGAACGATTGAGGAAGTTCAGGTGCTGAAAGAACCCTCAGTATACTGTACTAGGAACCCTGTTCGAGAACCAGTGCCTCAGGATATTTGGCTAGAAAGTCGGAGATAGCGTAGCTAGACAATAATTTTAAACACACAGATGACCACATTTTTTTAATTTTGATTCTGACATCTATTTTATATTATAATTCAGGGTTTACTGATATAAAACCAACTGAGGCCATACTGTACCAAACAATTACTTTAAAAACAACTGAACAAGCTGAAAGTTTTTGAAAGATTCAGCAGCCTAAAGCTGGGGTAAACAGTCAGCTATCTTCAGAAAATTGTACACAAAAGTAAACAATACTGAAGTTTCGTTAAGTTTAATCGCCGATATAAATTGACGATCAAAATTAAGCAGAAGGAACATCAGAGTGAATTATAATCTAGGCAAAAATTAAAGTATGCTAGAACTGGGGCACATTATTGCAAACCAGAGGTGTAGCGCAAGACGTAATGACACAAAAAGACAAATATCTCCCCCAACATAAGCCAAAAAGAAACAACCATCCATGAGTACTGAGACACAAGTCCAATGGTGACCAGACAAAAGCTCACCGGACAGAAGCTCACCCGTTTTTTTCTTAGACCCACACAATAGCTCACCCCCTTTTTTTTGGCTACCCGGTGAGTCACGAGCTGGGCCAAAGTGCGGACGCAATGGACATTGCACTATTTTTAGAAGAAGTGGTACCCCATCTCATGCAACGGTGTCGACAGGTAAGCCATAACAGGCACAGAAGCAACGATTTGGGACAAAAATTTAGGTCACCAAAATGAGTGGAGCTGAAGCTGATAAGATCAATCTGGGTTGACTTAAGGTATGCCACAACCGTCTGGAAAATATTTGCAAGGGGCTCCAGGTACACCGAGATCTACCAAGACTGCTGGAAACAGCCTGTACGGGACTGCATTTCCTTCTAACCAATCGAAAAACTTGTTTCCAGTCTAATCAACAAACCATGTGCCTATCAGATTTAATTCATTGTTGTGTTTTAGTGTCGCACGCATGCACCTAAGTTGTCTGCACTCGTGTTAAGACCAACATGAAATTTTCACGTGGTGAGCTTTTGACCGGTGAGCTTCTGTCTGGTGAGCTTTTGTCCAAGATTTAAGTCCAATATATGTCAAGAGTAAACTTAGTATTTGTTCCTGTTAAGTTTGATTGCAATAGTGCCTTGCCATTTCCTCTTTACGGCAATTTACTCACCTATCAAGTCCTTAACTCCCTTTTTAGGAAGCTTTCCCTTCATTGCCGACCCCGTAAGGCAGCAGTTTGTCAGGGCCTCAGTTTCAAATACCATGACCGCGAGTTCCTGAACGTAAATGGATGGCTGCTTCGTGTCGACATGCTTCAACTGCGCTTCAGGAAGCGCAATGTCTCCAAAGGTTATCTGAAACATAAAAATAGAACCAAATACGGTCATTACATCCATATGAATGCCTTTTAGATGAGTCACGAATGGCCGTGACATGCTGGTGGTAAGGAAGTGTTTGATGAAGAGGGCTAGCTAATAGTAAAGAGGGTAATAAGGCTAGTTTGAACATTTACTATATAAAGTCCACTGGTCAGGCTAGTCACCATCACATTGGCGCAAAGCATTTTTGTTTAATAGGGCGATTGATGCCTCACTCACACGCTTTTTTCCTTTTTCCCAAATTTCATATGCTTCATGCAGTTCTCTGCTTGTTCTGTCATTGTATTTGCGAGAATCTTAACATAATGCAATACCGGGGAACAGAGGCATCTGCTGCAGTGAATGGCGAGGTGGCCAGACAGGCTGGCTGGCGTGGCAGCCACATGCTCACGGGCAGGGTCATTCCCACATCTGGCCCATATACACTGCCCCTCACAATATTGGTATCTGATACACAACGCCCAAAACACACCCAGCAATTTTATCCTTGTGTTTTATGCTGCAAGGCTAAGACGGCGGGGCTTGGGCCTGTTGATTCTGTGGCAGAGCCAAGCCATCCTATTGTGTGCCGAAGACATCACAGTAGTGCGGTACCGCTGACCGACTTCCTTGAATTGTGTGACACTGAGTGTACATACCTGCCAACCTGTGGAATTTCAAATTCATAAAAGTCGCGCGGCTGCGGCCGGGGGGGGGGGGGGGTGCGAAATGCTTACATCACACGTGTACGTGCTACACAATCCAAACTTCTCTTGCTTTTTGGGCGGCATGAAGCACGGAAATTTCGACGTGTAGGACTTCAGGAACACCTGAAAGTACCTCTTTTGAGGTTTCGAGTTTGGCATTGCGCCGCGAAGCCACAGTGACAAGGAGAATGCTACAGTTACACGTGCAACAAACACAGACGCCATACTTTTTGCCTCGAAACTGGCCGAAACAACGAGGCCCCAGCAACGTCTGAACACGCCGAACCAACTTGCACCTGTGCACCGCCGAACACACGAACAAAGGCTTTGAGCTTTGGATTGGTTTTCGATTCGTGGCCACCGGATAGACGGATAGTAAAAACCACGACGCTGCTGTGGACGGTACCTATCGCCCTCTTGTGGCAATACAAGATACCACCAACAACGGAGTTACAAAAACAAAAAAAAAAAAAAAAAAATTTTTGTAAGATTTGAAGCAAGATTCGTAAAATCGTAAAATTAGTCCCAATTTGTACATTTTACGAAAAATTCGGAAGAGTTGGCAGGTATGAGTGTAAGTATGGTACCACATCTGGTCTCACATTGGGCCTCTCACGAGCAGGCTTGTTTATGCCTCAACTTTATTTAACAAGCTTTTGGCGACCTGAATTATACACATCTGCAGGTAGCTTGCTTCTGGATAAACAAACCCACTCGTGAGAGGTCCAATGTAAGACCAGCTGTGATACCATACCCTCAGTTTCACACAATTAAGGAAAGTCGGTCAGCGCCACCGCATTCCCGTGGTGTCCTTGGCATCCAATAAGATGGCTCGGCTCTGCCACAGAATCAACATCATAGAGCAGCCGTCTGAGCCTTGCAGCATAAAACACAATAATAAATTTGTGGATGTATGAATGAACGTGCCCATGAGCACGTGGCTGCCACGTGAGCTAGCCTGTCTGGCCACCTCGCCATTCACTGCAGCAAATGCCCCTGTTCCTTGGTGTTGCACGATGTTAAGATTCTTGCCAGATACAATGCCAAAACAAGCAGAGAACTGCATGAGGAATATATTATTTAGGAAAAAGGAAAAGAGTGTGTAAGTGGGGCATCAATTGCACTATTAAACAAAAATGCTTCGCGCGAAGTGATGATGACTAGGCTGGCCGAAGAGGCCTACATAGTAAATTGTCTTTCCAAATAAACAACAGTTGCGAGTGTGCCAAGGCTAATAGTAATCAATATTATTGATTACTATTAGCTATATTCCTAACAGCCATGCAAGTGTCCCTTTAAGAGAACATGCACATGGACTGTAGTAGGTGCCTCCAACTATAATTACGCTTCACTCTGTGATTGCAGCCTCCGGAAGTTCTGAATTGGCAATCTTGCAGCATGCAGCAGTCGACTGGGGAAGTGTTATCGAAGCTGAAGAAAACATCCGCTGTCGAGCACATTCCAGGCTTGATCTGCGTCGTTTATTAAAGCAGTTTTCTGATTGTTTTTTTTTTATTTTGAAAATGCTAGTCCTTAAAGGCAACGCCCAGAAATTTTAAAGAAACTTCTACACATTATGCGATCGAGAATGAAATGTGTCCCACAGTGGATTCAGTAAAACCCCAATTATGCGTCCCCGGTTTATGCACAACTGGACGAGTCAGCAGAAACTCACTGATTTCTTTTGAAGTTCCAATGTGATAATAAAGATTGATTGGCACCTCTATTACACAATTTCTAGGTTACATTCATAGTTGCATGAGGGTTCTAGCTTCTTCAGATTCCAGCAGATTATCAGCTTAAAGGCTGTTTGGAAGTTCTGTATGTCTTTGACCCGTAACTGTTGTTTTTTGGATTATCCAATGTTGTCGCGCAGTCTCCTGAAAGTCACATAATCGAGGCACCACTATATCCTCCAGCTTTGAAAACGCCTCAACCGATTGAATGCTGCGCGCCCTACAGTGGCTGAATGAGAACTTCCGCTGGCCGCATTCGTGGAGTGTGGCAGCATCACTCGGAAAATCATCGAAAGATAGTGGTGAACCTAATACACTATTTCCATCCAGTTCCCAGAATTTAGAAGGCGTGCGTAGAGGCAATGAGGGATATATCTGTTGCAAAAATTGTTCCCTGGGTTCTAACTGAATTATATTTAGGTTATGAAAATGATGAGCAGAAAGCAGTCCTGACATTGTTGGGATGGCCTAAGCCTGCATGAACAGACACCCCATATACAGCATCTAATTAAAAAAAAGAACCTTTTAAAAAAGAGGACGGGTCTGCTGAAACCTTGCAAACCACGAACAAAGCAAATCACTGAGATTTAAGGACACGACAGAAACAGAGACAACACAAAACAATTCAGAAATGAAACCAACAATACGGTTAGCGCTGTTTGAAGAACCATTACCTTTCTATGCCTCAACATTGCTAAGCTTCTTCCATAGATTCCAATGCTTACCTCTTCACACATCCTGGTGGAATGTGGAAACTTAGGCCTCACATTATAAGGTCAGTAAGTATAGCTATGGTTCTAATAGTTGAACCTCTCTAATAGGCACATTTTTTGCTAGAACATATGGTTCGTTCACACTTTTAAAAAGCAGTCTTGCTGCCGACCGAATTTGGTCACCAAAAAAAGACCGAACTGTTCAGGCTTAGCAGAATGGACAATTGGGCGAGTTTACGGTAGAGATCATTATAACTTACAGTGCGACTAGGACAAAGAGAGACAGAGGAGAAAACACAGGCCAAGCGCTTAACGAGCAACTGATTCGATTGAAAAGGAAATACATATGATGATGCTGCTGCTCGTCCAGGCATGCCCCTCCGTGGTCCTGGCGCTTTTTCTTTCACTTAACACGATACCAGCCGAATTATCCGAGATACAAAAAGCCGATCTCGCTCTTCATCAAAGTCACTGTGGGCTGGCTCACACACAAGGATCCGTTTTGTGTTATGTAGTACGTCTGCATCATTTCTCGGGGTAGTTTCCGGTTGTGTCGGAACATCACTGTCGTGTTGTTCAAAAGGGGTTGGCATCCGCAATCCCGGCAATGCATTGTGAGATGTGTGTGAGCGGTTCCTTTCATAGAACTGTGGTGTTTTCGTAGTCTTATGTTGAGGCAACTCCCAGTTTGTCCTATGTAGGCACGCCCGCAGGAAAACGGGATCTTGTAGACCACACCTTTTATGCAGGCGACAAACTGCATTCCGTGTTTGATGCTGCAGCGGCTGTGAGATGTAGGATCGTCATTTCTCGCACGTTTGTTGACTGTGGAGCACACAGATCTAAGCTTGTGGCGAGCGGAAAAAACAACATTCACATTGTATCTCGTGGCAGCTTTCTTGAGTCCGTGGGAAAGACGGTGGATGTACGGTATGACTGAAGTTTTCCTTTTCTCTTTCTGCTCGAGGTCACATTGCTCGATCTCTGGATCTGTTTTAAGGTATTTCACGATTTTTTCGCAAGCTGAAGTAATGACCGAATTAGGATACCCCGAATCCTTGAACCGTTGAATTTGGGACATGAAGCTGGAACTCAATTTGTGGATGCATGTGCTTGTTAAATCTGTCCTCAGACAGGAAACTGCGATGCCTTGTGTGACGAGTTTGGAGTGGGCTGAAGTCCACATTCATCGGATGGCAGGACAAGGTGTACCTACAGAAGTCCGGAGTATGCATAGGGTCGAGGGTAGCCTCTGTGCTCAGTAACATCTTCCTAGGCAAGATCCATCGGGGTCTGGAACCTTTCTTGGAGAAAAACACCAAAAAAGTGTTTAGGTACGTAGACGATTATTTGGTCTTCGTTGAGAGGGCTAATTTCCATCAGAAGCTTGACGATGTGCTGAAGATCTTCACGAAAAAAAGGCAAGGACTTCGATTCACCTATGAAGCCCCAAAAAAGAACCTTATTGAGTTCCTGGATCTCCGCATCAAAGAGGGGGATGATCATGTTTGCTGGTGTTACAGTCCCAGAACAGCAAAGGCTCTTCTAAACTTTCAGTCAGCCCACTCTAAACTCGTCAAACAAGGCATCACATTTCCCTGTCTGAGGACAGCTTTAACAAGCACATGCATCCACAAATTGAGTTCCCACTTCATTTCCAAAATTCAACGGCTCAAGGATTTGGGGTATCTTAATTCGGTCATTACTTCAACTTGCGAAAAAATCGTGAAATACCTTAAAACAGATCCAGAGATCGAGCAATGTGACCTCGAGCAGAAAGAGAAAAGGAAAACTTCAGTCATACCATACATCCACCGCCTTTCCCACGGACTCAAGAAAGCTGCCTCGAGATACAATGTGAATGTTGATTTTTCCGCCTGTCACAATCTCGGCTCTGTGTGCTCCACAGTCAACAAACGTGCGAGAAATGACGATCCGACATCTCAGCCGCAGCAGCATCAAACACGGAATGCAGTTTGTCGCCTGCATAAAAGGTGTGGTCTATAAGATCCCGTTTTCCTGCGGGCGTGCCTACATAGGACAAACTGGGCGTTGCCTCAAGATAAGACTACAAGAACACCACAGTTCTACAAAAGGAACCGCTCACACACATCTCGCGATGCATTGCCGGGATTGCGGATGCCAACCCTTTTTTAACAACACGACAGTGATGTTCCGACACAACCAAAAACTACCCCGAGAAATGATGGAGACATACTACATAACACAAAACGGATCTCTGTGTGTGAGCCAGCCCACAGTGACTTTGATGAAGAGCGAGATCGGCTTTTCGGATCTCGGATAACTCGGCTGGTATCGTGTTGAGTAAAAGAAGAAGCGCCAGGGCCACGGAGGGGCATGCCTGCCTGAGCAGCAGCAGCATCATATGTATTTTCTTTTCAATAGAATCAGTTGCCAGTTCAGCGCTTGTCCTGTGTTTTCTCCTCTGTCTGTCTTTGTCCTAGTCGCACTGTAAGTTATAATGTTGAGGCTTACTACTCCCTGCCGTTCCCATATGATGTATCTGGGAAATCAGTTTCCTTAGTACAACCCTGCCGTGCCAGTGTGCGTCGGCGGAGGAAGTTAGGAGGTCAACTTTTGACAAACACCAAGCATTACTTTGAGTAGGTTACCTATGCTCATTGCTCAGTGACAACCAAGAAATATGCGAGCACCGAACGAAAGCTGCCCACAGCACAGGGTCTGATTTTCGTCTTGGCGAGAGTGAAGGAGCTAAAAGACTGTTTGCAAATATGTTGCCTGTCAGTGCCAGAAAAAGAAGAGTTTGGGAAGTCAACGCACTGGATTTTCTGTGACCAAAAGGGGGACCGAGCACAGCACAGATTTAAGATTAATAATTAGTGAAGCATCATCAATCAGGTGCGACTCGTGTTCTCACCGAATGGGCAGTCAAGGCTGACATGACACTCGTGTTCAATCCGCGCTTCACACTGACTCCTTTTAGGTAACATGGAAAATCGGTGCTAAAACCTCAAGTTCGTCTAAATTGTGTTGGTTTCGCCTGCCATGAAGTGTCAATCACCGACGAAAACAGAACAAAAAAGACATTGATGTATCGTCTGCTAAACGAGATTTAAAATGATTTGTGAACGTCTGCTATATCACAAAGGATGCAATAGACCTTTTTTAAAAGCTGCATCTACCTACCCTGGCACCAAAAGGCAGTGTGCTGTCGCAAACCAACTGTAGCTGAGGACAGAAAAGGCCGAGCAAGACAAGGAAGGCAAGCGGCAAGGCCATTGCAAGCTGAGGAGGCATGTGACAGAGTCTTGCACGAGACATCCTCGCGCCGCCGAAATTCATTTTCTTGCTGCACATAAGCTGACATTCCCTGGTGTGACATATGGCAATAGAATTCCTGCCTTTTGTTCTAATTAAAAAGTTTTCTCCAGCAAAAAAGAAAAAAAAAGATCAAAAAGGTCTTTGATCGATCCGCTTGCCACAGGATATTCCACAGAGTTCTGACACCCAGCGTCAAAAGTCTGCGATTGTGGTTCGAGCATCAAAATAATCTGATCAAATTTTGACGCCCAGCGTCAAAATTTCGTGTGAATGAGCCATTACGGTTAGGAAAAAGACAAGATAAAAGATTCACACCTTTAACTGCGATGTGAAGAAAAAAAATTGTTACATACCATATTCTACACAATATCCTCTTGAACCACAGGGCCTGCCACTCCACGAGTCTCCATAGCCGCAACAAGGGGTGGCACACCTGCCGGTAGGAAGCATCAAATTATAAGAAAATTACTGGTTCAACAGTCAACACTGAAATCACAGGCGCTTTGAAGTTACACACATGTGACACCTGGTTTAACATTAAGGAAAATTAAAAGTGCACACGATTAAAGCAAACACTGCACCAAACTTGCTCCTAGACTTCAAACTTTTAATATGAATGGTGGGAAAGCATGAAGCTGTGAAATCCAAGCCTGAAATCCCATGCTGGACATGTGTATACTCACCATAAAGAAACCATTTGTGAAATTATCCGAGCCCTTTAACTTGCACTAGAAATATTGCTCTCCCTTCAGACTGCTTCGCCACCCCAATGCCCCTCAAATCTCATTCCCTGATCTTAGTCAGCTCAGTTCAGTGGCTGTCACTTTTATTTTCAAAATTTCTCTCCTAGTGCACATTCAGTATTTTTGTGCATATTTCACTGCTTTCGACACGGGCACTCACTGTCAACACGCCGCTTCACAAACCGTTCCCAAATCGAGTAAGAATGCTGCTGCCACTCTATATCATACTATGAGTGGCCCCATTTCACCTATGTACAGCTGCAACTTTAAAGAGAAATGCACAAGCTATTCCTGTAAGGAGAACAGCAAATTGAGGCATGAAAATTGACACTGTGTGTAAACATAGAGACAGTCAAACTCCAAACCCAAGCAGGGTCAGCTCTCGCATCACGATTCAGTGCTTTACCATCACAGATATTGCCTACCCTGATTTTGAAAAAGTCTCTCCTGTATCAGCATTCAGTTTAACGAAAAAAACTTACAGAATCACAAAGAATGGTAGCAGCAGTAGTACTCATTTTGGGATATGAAGAAGCTTGTTGACCATTTAACGCAGGGAATTAAAGCAAAGTGTAGATAAGAAAAATGTTTTAAACTTTATTTTTTTGCTTTGTATACATCTTTGTAAGTATGGCCTATGGGCGCCGCCATCTTGCTTACTGGGGGGTACTTAGGTACACTGTGGGCCGCGCCATAATCTGACTACGTCTTCTTCTCAAGGCATCGTAATTAGGTTATGGCGCAGCTCACGCGCTCTCCAGCTAGGAAGATGGCGGCGCCCAGGGGACGTACCTGCAAATGTGTATATGTAATCGATCACTAAAGTTATTTTTGGTGCAAATGAACTTCTAAGCAAAAAATCTTTTAGGTTGCAAATTTGCGACATCGAGCAGTTAGGCCTGGACAAATAGGTTATACTGTTCCACCTTACATCCGGAAGCAGAGGACGCTACGTTACAACCTCGACCTCCTGTGCTCTGGCCTCGGCCGCCCTAGCCTCAGCGTCCCCCAGTCAGGCCGGTCCTGGTCTCAACCTGCTCCATGCTGGCTTCAGCCTCGGTGGCCCTGCCCTGGTTTCGGCCTCGTTGGCCCAGGCTTTGACCTTATTAGCCCTGGCTTCGGCCCCGGTCTGAGGCTCACTGGCCCTGGTCTCGACATTGTTGGCCCAGGTCTCGCCCTCCTTTATCCGGGACTCCTTGGACCTAGCAGAGGCCTCTTCAGTAGAGGCCAGGGCAGGTACAGCGAAGACAGGTCCTCGAGCTTGTGATGCAACGTCCTCAGGATCCCCAGAAGATGCACGGAGCTATAAACAGAAAATATAAGCAGTAATGATAGATTATCAGAGTTGTACAACAAAGCATAACATTGGAAGTCCTAAGCAACTGCTTCCCAGAAGTGACCTCTGACTGACCCGCAAAGTTGCATTCCCGTTGCCACCAACTTTTTCTAATGCTGAGGAAAATAGCATCATATGTCATCTGCCCTCACAGTGCAAAGGTTACTGAAACAGTATATCTAGTCTCCAATTACTTCAGCATTCTGAACAGCTTGCAGTTTGCATGAATGAATAATTGATAAGTACACTCGAAAAAGCAATAATGACATTGATTAAAATATATCTAACCAAGCACCAAAATGGCAACATTATATAAATCTGATGCGCTCTCCATAAAGCTAACACTTTCTAACAAAAATGTTGTTATACATACCCTGTGACCTTTCAGCTCCTGGCGAAGCTTTTTGAGAAGCTTGTCCTCCACAGTGTCTTTTTTTTTTTCTTGTGGGCTGCTTGTTCTGCAACGAGTGATTTCAAGAAAAAAAAATCAGCAAGTTTTTGCAAAATTTCGAAAGACGTTGCAAACGTCGCTGTTGAAGCCGCAGGATCACAGCGTGGTTCATGTTCCGAAGTTCCGCGATTATAAGCTGCGCCATTGTAAACTCATTTCCTTGACGTCACACTTCGAGCAGAAGAAGCTCTTGTCGAAAAAATAATCAGCGACGGACTCACCCGGTCTGTGTCCGCCGGAGCATCATCTCGTAGAGTGCGAATCGTCATCATCGGGGAACACCATCCGTAGTTCTTCAGCCCATTTCGACCAAGTTTCCAGTCGCTTCCCGGTCGTTGGATGCCACTCAAGCCGTCCCGCTCACCTTCGATGAAGCAACAGCGAGCGTTATTTCATCGCTCCACCCGGACTGCGTTGCGCCGCCACCGTGTTGATATGCGCCTCCCAGTCCCGCGCACTTCACGGCGCTCGCTGCCGACGACGAGTCAGAGAAGGCGGGAATGGACACCGTCAAGTCTGGCATCGCGGTCACCGATGCGAAGCCCGGTTGCGACGCCAGGGTCCGTACGAGCTCACGGTCCGCGGCCATGGCTGTGCTTTCTCGTCGAGTCAACGGGAACACTGAACGGCCTCTCGTCGGTGGCGGAAACAATGGACGCGCACCACCGCCCGCGAAGAAGACTCACGTTCGTCGGCGTGAACGTGGCTGTCGCAGCCACCACTGTTCCGGGAAGGCTCAGCGGTAATCCCACTTCGGAATGCTAAAGTTTTCGAAGTAACATCATCGAAAGTTCATAAAAAAAACTGGTTTATTTAAAGACAACAAAACTGACGGCTGATCAATCCGGCACCATCTGGATGATTGTATGGGTATGGATACTACTGCGGCACCTTGCAACGCACTTTGTAACGGGCGGTAGCTTGCGCCACCTACCTTAAGTCTAAAAAGCGACGTATTTGCAAACGTGGTCGGTCACGCTCGCGACTGATAGAAATACCAAGAACTCAAACGCGTCACGACAGCAACAGACCCCAAATCATTCGAATTTTAACACTGCAATGAAACCACGCGGAGCTCTCAGACGCAGACACGATGAAGCTTGTTTTTTCTGCGTCGACGAAACTCAGGAGCATCGATTTCGCGACCCGGTGCACCACTACACAAACTGCACTGCTTTATAATCCGACTGAGAACTATCGACGACAGAAGATTGCTCGTCGATGTTGGTGGGGCAAATAACACGTAGCACTGATGATTAAACGATGGAATCACAGACGTAGTCGGTCATGCTCGCATATTTGTTGATTGTCACCAAGCAATCACTTTCTTTGTACGCGGTGTTCGGATTCATCCGCCAAGCTCCTGACTTTTGCGGGTTGCGATGTGATATCAGCCTCCCGAAGCTGGTGGATCAAACGGTAATAGCGTATCTCACTCGCTGTTGCAGGCTGCTCACCGCGTCCGTGTAACCAGAACGAACTGGAAACGACAACAACTACGCTGAGACTGCAGCGGCTACCTTTCATATTCCTGAAGATATCAACTAAACGTACCTTTCACAGTTTTTCTTGCGCTCTTGTGAGGGGTAACCACTGCGTCAACGCAACTATTGTTGTCGTTTCCAGGCGGCTCATTTCTTGATCGCCACGCCGGGAAGCTACGCGTCCACAGCGTGTGCGCAACTTATAATGGTCACTACACTCATTCTGGGACGGTGCAATCGCAGACGTAGTCGGTCACGCCTGCCACCGGAACGCTGAGAACTTGATCAGGGGGCTCACGTACAGCACTGAAACGCCACAGCGCTCGAAACAACGCGAGCTGCTGACGCCATTTCATGACACAGACACAGCGACGAAGCACAATGTTGTCCTCATTTCATGGTGAGCGCAGCTAAGCATACTCGGTGCATGCTCTGATTATCCTTTCAGCGCACTTCCATAGTAAACTTTTCGTTCACTAAAAGAAACCTTAGAGAGGCAACTGATAAGTCACTGCACGAATACTTACAAGATCCTTCCAGCTTACTTCCATAACGTTCTTCTAGTGCACTAAAAGATACCCAGGGCAGGCTACTAGTAAGACGCTTCGCATGAACTTAGAAGCTACTTAGGTCTTAGCTAGTTTACTAAAAGTATACTATTACAGTACTTACTTCAAGCATACTAAGAAAGGACACTAATAGTACAAGCCTACTTCTGGCTAGCATCCTTTAAGGACAATTTTAGTATACTTCTTGAGAATGAGTATTTTAAAAGACCGTAAAGTATACTTAAAGTAACCTAGTTTTCGCTAAGGGAACTGTTCAGTATATGGACTGCTGACAAACAATGGCCACGCCGGTTTTTGCAACGGTCCGGTTTAGGCTACACGAGCAACAAGAAGAGGACACCGATCGCTTATTATAACCAATAATTATAACCAAAGATGATTGGGAGTGTTTATAAACGAAGTATAGCGCCGGCCATACTTTGGTTAGAATCACATGCGTACTCGCAGTATATTTACGTGCTTGTATGACTAAAAAAGGTGGTGAGCGTTTATAAGCTCTTTAACCTAAGTTTCTCTTTCACGGCCAAACACCTTTTTCTTATTTTCACACTGGCAGCAGCAGCAAAGGGCTAAGTAGACGAGTGCCATAACTATCACTGCTGCGACTGCGTCTTTCTGGATGAAAGGTACAGTAGCCTTCGCAAACACAACCAAAAACTGCGATAAGCAAAAGCCGGGCGCACCGTCCAAAATAGATAATTCGTTCTTTCAATGCCAGAGTTGGGGGTAGGCCTTCCAGTGGAAGACTACGGTATTTATGTCTGACGAACTGCGATTCAAAGAAGGTGCCGTACGTGGGGGTGATACAGTCTTTCGTCTAATCTCTGAGGCGCTATGTAAGAAAGGATGCCCAGAGGATTTGGTGAGAGGCGATCTTCTGAACTTGAGTCGTTTTCCAGCGAGAGACCGCACCTTTGTACCACGGCGGTAGAGCAGGGATTCTAAAAGATAGTGACGTCTTTCTGGTGCTGCGATAACCTTGCCACTTACTTTGGTTCAAAGCGTGGAAACGTCAACGCTCCCAAACTTGGAGTTTATATATCTGTTGTTGACAGAACGAGAATTTATTTGTTTTGGAGAGGATGTGACCAGCTAGAGTAGATAAGGACGCTAAGGCAAAATCCTTTGAGCGGTGGCTATTTGAACGGATGTCTCCTTCCAGAGAGACGGCTGCTCCTTCATGGTACGCAGACGGTCATTTTAGCAGCTTCTCTGCAAAGACTGCACCAAGGACGCTTAGTGATTCCGCCCGGCGATAATCTCGCGCCTTTTGGGCCCGGTTGTGGGAACTTTTCCCAAAAAGTTTGAAATGACGCTGTTTATACATAGCTTTGTTGTACAGAATAAAAATGATTTTGTTTTCAAAATAATTATGCGGCAATTTTTAATCACAAGCAACGACTAACGGCTAACGTAATTTCATAGGAGATACCCTAAAATAATAACGACATTATTTTACTCGTTATTCACTTGGAATTGTAACGAGTACTTTAGTGCGTTAGTTACCAGTAACGTTGTTACTAGTAAAGCGTTACTTCCAACCAGTGTGTCGAACCGAAAAAAATACGGGTTCGGTTACGGTTCAGGTTCAGGTAAATTTATTTTGTTCCGGTTCAGTTCCGGTTCGATTAATTCGACCCGCGAACCGGTTCGCGAACCGGTTCGGAAATTATAAATGACAAATTGCAACATCAAAATAAATTACAAATAAAACACCTGAAATCAGCACATACGAAACCGGATACATCGTAGTGTAAGGCTCAGGGATTTCTACCAGGAATGGTTTCTTTATGTGCAATCAAAGGTTTCGTCACCGATGTTTACGCATTCGGACTTCATCTAATTGGGTCCGACGCAGTAGCTGTAAAATCCGCGACCTCCTTACGAACCCACTTACAAGTAGAACTCGCTAACTATCCCGCCACCTCGGCGTGTAAGCAATTGAAGGAACAGTGGGGAGAAAATACAGCTTTCTTTATTTGAACTAGCCTTCGGTAACTCAAATTAGACCCTTAAAGAAGTTTTCATTAAACAAGATACGGAATATGAAAAACACTTCACCGAACGCAACGCCAGAAGGACGTAATAGGATGAATATTAAAATAGAAGAGTTCGCTGTCTCACAAATATGTTAGCTTCTAAGTGCGTATACGAAACCGGATGCATTATTATCAAACTCCACAGCCTTTTCTTTTCTCAATCCGATGGAAGCAAGCTTCAAGAACTCGCGCGTTCTAGAAACGTGTTATGAAATGAGCACACAGCAGCATTTAGGATTTACGAGATTGTAGAAAACTAAAATCCCGTGACGCGATTTTTTTTTTTTTTTTGCACAGCTTTCCAATTCTTTTTCTTCTGTGCAAGCGGCGACCAGCGCAATACTGGTTCCTATGTCAAGATTCATTGGATGCAGCGTTTGTCAAGATTCATGGATGCAGCGTTTATATTCCTAAGACTGAGTGGAGAAGAAAAATATGTAAGCGAGGTGTGTGTCAGTTGACAGCACTTAAAAAACAAATGGCATTGATAGCACATTCATTGTCAACAGCGCGTGGCCGAACCGTTTTCACATGAGCCGGTAACCGTTATTTTTTTCCGGTTCAGTTCCGGTTCGGGTTCATCGCGATAAAAATGTAACGGTTCGGGTTCGAGTTCAGTTCCGGAAAAAATACCGGTTCGGTTCCGGTTTTCGGTTCGGTTCGGTTCCGGTTTGACACCCTGGTTCCAACAATGCTTTTTACCCATAAAACTCTGCTTTAAGGTTGACGACCGTCGACCGCAGATAAAATTCCAACGCTAAAAAGCGTTTATGGAATTGTCATCCTGTCGCCGTTGCACCACTACGGCGTCGTTGCGTGCTAACTCTCTGCTTGTAGAACAGTTTTCACCGAGTAAATTAAACTCTTGCTGATACGTGAACAAATTCGTCTTTCATATTTTTTGATAAGTGTACGATTCAGAAGGCATAAAAGATTAGACTGTAACGGGGGAAAGTCAAAAATGGAGAAAGGGGAGTTACACTCGTAGAGTCGATCACTGTCGGTCTACTGCTGTCTCTTTTCACAAGCCATAGCAGCTGCAACTTGATCCTGGCTTCTTCCGGACGGTCGTTGGCGTCCCTTTGGCGGGAACCTCTGGGCACGTGGGGTTCTTAAATGTGAGGTTCGTACACACGCAAACCCGCATACTCTATCTCAGGAACACACCGTAATTGTGAGCCTGTAACCTCGGCGGCCGCTGAGCCTTCTACAAACACTGGCGTAAGCAACGTACTGGCAGCACGTAGGGTTTGATTGAGGTCCCACACTCATATAACACTTACTATGAGACCCTGATTCCCCGATGTCTCTCGTTGCAAGTAATTCCACGGGCCGAGTAGGACCTACCAAATTATTTCGTACACAGTGACGTGCTATGGTGTGTCGATAGGCGAATCACACGTTTTCAAGACTCCTGAATACACGCATTTCAGTAGAGATGCGCCGATCGGTGATAAGAAACAGAGAGCGGCGCGTGGTTAACGTGGCTAGTGATTCGCCTCATTTAGAGGAAGCTTGTCACCGTACTTTAGATTCACGTTTATTTTTGTCCCTCAGTATTGCTGCCAAAAAACCCAGAATAACCTTTCAAGATCTAGATTATGGAACTGGAAATCTAACCTGAATTGTTTCTGGAAACCTTAAATCCAGAGTCCAGACAAAGTATTGAACTCAGAGTCCCTGAGTACTGTAGGGCGGGCTTCGGAAAATCGGTTCCGCGCTGGGGGTGCGTTAATACGTTTAGCACTCTCTTTTCAGTTCTTCGGCCCTTACC